CCCCAAAACCCCAAAACCCCAAAACCCCTTAAAGATAAATTTGTTGGCAATATTGAGTTATTAAATTAAGGCTTTCATTTATTTAGTATTTAATTATTCACTCAAATTGAATTATTTAATCTTTGTCTGCTTGTCTAAAAATGCACATAATGATTATTAAGTCTATTATACATTTCCTTTAATCTATTGAATAAATTCGTATACCTTCTTAGCTATTCCTAACCAGTAAAAGCTTTTAGACCTTCACTTTCCTCCTTAATAACTAAGGCAAGTTCTTAAAGCCTTTCACTAACCATAGGATTTTCTGATGCTTTTTCCATTTGAATATAGCAGTGCTTAAAAAGAACATTAAACTTTTTATAGTAGTATAGAAGTCTTTCCTAAATATGCGGCGGAATCTTCTTCTTAACAGCATCTAAATCATATTGGAGATCAATTAATTTTATGCTATCATTAAGAGTTGACATTAACTTTTTATGAAACTCTCTGAAGTTTTCTGCCGAATTCACAGGCATTTAAATCTTATTGGTCTGGTTTTGAATTTATATTTTGATAAGGTTTTATGCGAAACCTGCTGCTATATTTTTAAATTCATTTACTGTGTAGCATTGGGACTAAGACACTTAAGGTCTACTATGACTTTGTGGGGTTTAAATCATTTAATGCTCCTCAAGAAGTTTTTCTTTTTCAAGCATTAGTTACTCATCATCTTTCTTTTCAATTTTCCTTTCATGTCGACTACCTTGGATGATTCTATTAGAATTTTAATTGTACTTGTTAATGATTTTTCTCGCTTGGATTTCATATTCTATATTTTTGTCCTTCTAGGTCTAAATATCCCCGCCTATCTTCTCTATTATGGTATTTAAATTGTCAATCTCCTACTGATTCTAAAAAGTGCCATAGCCAGAGGGTTTTTAGTCGAATTCTATATTCTTAAGATAATTGACATCTAAGGATTTAGCTGTCTCTTTTACTTCCTCTGACTTCACTTATTACTATAAGAGTTATCTAGGATTGTGAATATACAAGTCCTCATAACTATTTATGTCTGTGCTAAAGGGTACAAAAATAGGATTGTTTCCTCCAAATATTTAGCTTTTGTATTGAAAATTTTTGCTTAAGAATTCATTCCAAAATTCTTTTTCAGAGCATCGCAATGGCACTCGAGCTTCGTAAGCCGAAGCTAACTCAGAAAATTCTTTCAGTAATCTTTTACAATCATTTTCCTCAAGGCTGAATTCAGTTTTTTAGGTCGTGAAGTTTTATCTTGGCATTAATAAAAATGGCTTGTTTGAAATGCCAGCTTAAATAAAATCTGTCGATTCTATTTTATTATCCTTGATTCCATAAACTGCTTTATCATTGGCGCTAGCAGAAGACCAGAACTCTTATTCAGTCATTAAGTTCTTTTATACTACAAATTCGTCAAATGTATCTTTAAGGTAATCATTTTTGTTTAAGTTTATTATTTTTTGTATTGTTTCTGTTCCTACTGAGTTCAATTAAGCTGACTCAGAGTCAGCATTGCTTTAGAGTAGTTGCTGTATTCTATCTGATATAACTCCTGAGTTAATGCCTTCAAAACCAAAGTTAAAAGCTTATGATTTTCCTTTGATCTCAATTCTGAGAACCCACCTATCCTACTTTTTGTTATCCTATGCTCTTAATACTCCCTTAACATGAAGTCTATTTTCATTGAATTGGAATAAGCTATCTCCAACTCTCTTCCATAGAATTCTAACATTAGTTATCAATAAAATTCCTTCTATTTGTCTCAAAGAAGCATTTACTTATTCTAATATATTTTCCTAGGGCAATAAACCTTGCATTTTATATGTTTATATGATAATTTAAATTAAATTTTTCCACTTATTCTTGATAAAGGGGTTTTGGGGTTTTGGGGTTTTGGGG